GGATTTAGATTTAAAATAATAAACAAACGTCAAGTAGTTATGGAAAGCTGAAGAATAGTGGAATTGCGTAACAAATACTTAGAACAAATAACCAAATATAGACAAGAACAACGGCAAATTTTATATTTGGACGACATTATGACTCTCACGACACAGTTACGAAAGGGTGGACAGATGGTTCGAGAATGTGTACGCCTAACATGCCTGCAAACAAAGGATCGCGACTAATGATTCTGCATTGCGATATAACAGTTGTGGAATTGGCCGCGGTGGTAGTGCGCCCGACTCACGATCGGAATATGGTGGGTTCGATTCCTGCCTCGACCAGATATTTTTCTCGAGAGAATTTATCTGGTTGAAGCTGGAATGATTCTGCAACCGTGTTGATAATCACACGTTAAAAGGTAAGACCTCGTTAGTCCTTAGCTCGCACAAGTTCTCAACTTTTGAGAGTTGTCGTTCGTATGGGGGCGACAGCTGATTAACGGAAAAACAGATTTTAAACAGATTTTTTTTTAAACAGTGATTGTCATGCGATTTTTTTGTTGAATGAAATATTATTATTCTTAATGTAAATTACGTTCTCATACACCAAAATCCTTCGCATGCATTATTGGGGTTTATTAACCCTGANATTATTGACTATTCGACCATGTGGCAAAAACAATGAGTAAAACGTTGATATTTGGCTTTGTTTGGTCTTGGGTCTCCTAGGCTCTTCCAATGGGACGATTTGACGTTGGTTTCGATGTCATAACCATATTTTTTCAAGACAAATCAAAGGCACTACAGGAAATTCCTTAAGGCGCTCTCAGTGAAAAAGTTCTTAAACAGTGTAGTTCGAGGTGTACTCAGTTGAACCTTGAAACGATGAGCAGCCACAAACCGTCGCGTATTTCTGATATGTACCGCTCTTGGTGAAATCAAATGTGCCAAGTCACTTAAACACCTCCCGTGAAAGTATCTATGGAAGAGAGACAAATCTTCAACCTTTCTTCGATGTTCCAGGCTATCAAGGTTGCAAGTGATGTTCGTGTTCCAATTAGGCGAATGGTTCTTTTCTGGATGGAATCCAGCAACTTCAGGGTATGTTTGGGGACAGAGCTCTATACATGAGAACAATACTCACAAAGAAGGTCTTGCTGAAGTGTGTATAGTTTTCTGGTTCGGAACAGTATTCCAAGCTTTTGAGAAGCAGAATATTGGTGTCTATTTTAACCCCCAACAAACTTATCAAAGCAGAAATTTGGAGAAAACCGATGCCTGGGTTTTTGTGGCATTGAATTGAAACTGGTTACTTTCACTTCATTTCGAAATCACCACTAGATCCTCATTAAGATATGCAACCTCCTGCTGTCGGTGAAGATGTCCCTCCGTAGCCGATGTCCTGGAATCCAAATGGAATGACGAGACAAGTGTGCTGTCGTCAGCAAAGCAATATATTGGATTCTTGACTTTTTCCAATAAGTCGTTGATATACAATAAAAAGTGGGTTCGATACAATATGGATCCCTGGGGAACACCAGAGTTGATGATAAAAGTATTCGAGAGGTATCCATCGAAGGAACTTTCTTTCAGGAAACTGGAGAGCCATACACAAAAATGTTCCGACAAACCATATGAGAGAAAGTGCCGTTGAATCGTCCAATTTTCCCCTCCTGTTGAAGGAAATTATCACAGTTTTGCTGGGGTTGACAGACATCTGCTCCCTCAGGCACCAACTGTGAACAACGTCAATCGTGTTTTGGAGAAGATTACAAGCTACCCTTCCCGACGTGGACCTTGCCAAGATAGTAAATGACTTATGTTGAAATGGTAATTAGTTCATTAGATGCCCATTTAATGAGTTGACAAAATTTTTCAATTACTTTATATCTGAACTCGTTTAAAATTAGGTAGGTAGATATAGTTCTAATTAGGTAGAATTTTGTCAGTATGAACACCCCTGAGGGAGGTATTGTATAATGCTGGGATTTTATAAAATATTCAGCGAACATCTCACAAAAAAGCGTTACTTGGATGCTCAAATACATTTTTCTTATATTTGCAGAGTCCTTGGAGATTATGGAAGGCCCGCGTGATGTCGAAGTTTCTTGGGGTCAAACTGCATCATTCACATGTAGAGTTCAGGATAGTTCTGCAACGGTCTACTGGATGCGAGACCATCAGGAAGTGATACCAGAACAAAACAAGTATATCATCGATGAACAAGGTTCTCTCCTTATACACAACGCAGATGAAAACGACGGGGGATTTTATGAGTGTGTTGCAAAAAATACTAACGGAGAAGTTAAGTCCAAACCAGCCAAAATGACTGTTTTGAAATCGGACGGCCCGGCCATAGCACATGGTATAACAAATGTTTGTATTATTTATTTTGAAAAAATATTTTGGTAGGTACCATGAAGTTCTCCAAGATTCTGTAGTCTCTCTCATTCAAACTAACCAAGGCGGATTCAAACGCTCGTTTATATTACGATTTTGATTTAAAACTGGTAGTGAGAGTAACTATATAGGAAGAAGGTGTATTACATTTTAACTGTTAAGTGTTGTAGCTTCTAGCTTAGTCAAACCAATGATTCATCAGAAATTGTGAGGGAATAAGTAATATATGTCTATAATTCTAGAAATCTACTTGATCGCCGTCTTTGTATAGAGGGATCACAACAAAGGGGGTCAAGAATGAATCAGTTCGAAAAAAATGATGTATTGCATCGGTTAACGCACTTGGCCCAGGACCGAACCTTGGGGAACGCCGCAAGTAACTTTTTTTTTCTTCATTTAAGTATGAATCTTTTTCGTTTCCATACTAGATTCTTTGTTTTTCGTATGTGGTTAATGTGGTTTTCGTATGTGGTTTATGTGGAAGAATTGGTTTTAAGACCTAGCATAATCCACTTATTCACCTCGTTACGTGATCTACTGAAGAATATTTTATGTTATGGTGAATAATAAATCACTATTATTTTTATTACCGTAGTATGCGCTGGTTAGGCCCTATCCCCCGAAGCACCGATACATTCGGAAGGGCGCGCCAGCATTATCAACCAACGACCACTCCCCACACCGTGGGGAAGGTGGTCATTGCGTCCAAGAATCATGTTCTCTGAGCAAGCGTAGTGAGCCAAGAATGATAGCCTTCTGTATCTGCCTTTGTGCGGCAAGCCGGTATGATTTTAAGATTCGAGAGTAGATATGATATGCAGTCGATTTCTTGGTGTTATTTGAATATTTCGAGTTTGTCCAGACTATCATCTGAATATCAACTTTTCATGAATTGAGAGTACTGATGTACTTAATTTCAATTAAGGCTATGTTTTGGACTATATTTAGCACAATTTATTTTTTATCTCGAAAACAGATAGAGATAGGTATAGGACATTATCAACACCTTAAAAATGCCTTCAATAAGAATGGATACAGCGAAAGAGAATTCGAGCAGCCATACGATCCAGGAGAGAGGACGCTAAAGGTCTCTGTCCACTATACCATACCAACCATGACCGTGATAGGACCGTATCAGACACGGAAAATAACACGACACGGTCTACCTTGCCCACTGTAATGAATCAACCGTGTTTTAAGCTTGTAAGCAACACGTATAATGACAGTTAGATGACCGTATGATGACCGTCAGATACCCCTTTGACAACTATAGGTAATGTGTATGTTTTTCCGGCTTACTCATCAGTGTAGTATGAACGTGTAGAAGAGTTTACCACGAAGAAAGAATATGGCTATGAGATTATCTACATTTCAATGAAATGTATTGCTGAATACAATTAAAAATAATTTACAAACCGTTTATACACCACTTCGCTGCCGGAGACCTACGGTTTGGCAACGTCGCGTGCCATGCATGTTGCGTATCAGCACCGGCAAAATATTCTCGACTCGAATACTGTCATGGCACGTGCATGATACGCTACGTACCGGACCGGTGACGGAACAGTCTAGTGGGCGTTAGTTCATATAAATCGTATCAAATAATATTTTTTAGCATGTGCCGGTACGTTTACGGTCATGGTTTGGTACGCGATATAGTGGGCAGATACCTTAAAGTTACCCCAGTTAGGCTGGTCAAGCTTTCCTTTCCTATGTTAAAAACATTACACACCGGATTGGGAGAATCCTAGAGAAACACGACGGAAAACCAATATTTAGGCCAACAAAAACTATTAGACAAAGTCTAAGGTCAGCTAAGGGCCCTACAGAATCTTCAGCAATTCCCGGGGTATACCGGATTCCTTATAGCTGCGAGTCGGTCTATATTGGAACCATGAAAAGAAGTGTGGGTACCTGTCTCTCTAAACACAAGAGAAATTTTCGACTCGCACAGACCGACAAATCAGCCGTAGCCGGTCATACCTGACCGATCCGGTTAAGAGAAATGCCTACTAATAATAATATAAAACCAGAGTCAAATACTGATATCGTAGTCAAGGCGTTCGGAACAACGGAAAAAACAACTCGAGCACCAACTTTGAGAATGTATACCGCAATAATAGACGAAACGTCAGGCATGAATGCTTGCAGATCACGGCAAAAAACTCGAAAAATGACTTTCACACATTTATTATTATAATCATAAGAAAGGGGCGGATCTTTTTTTGAATCTTCTATAGCATCTGTTAATTTTCTCTTTTCTATTTTTTGAGATGACTTGAAATAAGGTTGACAAAATTAAAGTCTGAATGGAGAGGCCGTTTCTTTCACCTTACATCAACTGATACTATTTTAGAACTAGACATATTAGGGAGATCAATGAAATTCCTTCAGTCGTTCCATTCAGTAATATTCACAAGAAACTAACATTTTCAGTATTCGTTTCATGATGCCGTAATTTGGGAGCATATGAAAATCTTTCGTTTTTTATCGTTTTTATTGCGTCAACACAATTTTTTGATTGAACACAATATAATGATCTCAGTCATCTTCTTCACATTTTTTAACCGTGTCCTAATTTTTTTCCAGAGTGCTATAAATGCTTAACGTTTCAGAAATCTACATCACAACCAATTGAAGCGTGTTCCAGAAGGCGCTTTCCAAAACCTTCCACGGTTAGAAAGATTGAGATTAGATCACAATTCGTTGGTATGCGACTGCGAAATTCTGTGGTTAGCCAACATGCTGACTGACAACTCTTTGGAAGCATCTGCAAATTGCAAGTACCCCCATGAGATGAGCGGAAAATCTCTGAAGGGCATGAAGTTGGATGATTTCCACTGCAGTAAGAAGTTTTTCATTTTAAATTGGAAGGAGTATATTTATAGGAGTGAATAACTTTTGGAAACTAAAGGTTTTGGCATTCTACTTCTCCATCTTTATACAAAAAATGTGGGAAAAAGCAATTCATTTCAAAATTAACCCCCTTTACAATTGGGATAAAATATCTTTTTGTACAACTGTCATTGAAAGTGACATTTTTATTGGTGGTCAAGAGTATTGAAACATGATGTTTACAAAGTAGCGTATTAAAACTATTTTTAACACTAGTATTAAAAGTTTTTTAACACGACCAAATAGTAATAAACAAAAGATAATACATTTTCAAAGAAGTTTTATTATGAACAATAGTAATAGATATAATTACATTCTGTTACAAATGTATTATATACAGTAATTACATTACATTTATGAACATTAATATGAAAAGTACAATTTGAACAACTGCTGATATCAATACTTTGCGGTGTTGGAGAGCCTTGTAATATATTTGAACTATCTGAGTTGACAATTTCATGGGCATTAACATTTAATTCTTGAAGTGAAGAGGACGATGCTGTAACGCTGTAGTTACAGTAGAAATCCTAACAGCTGTTAGGATTATTCTTTCAGCAGTAGCCTTTTTATAAGAAATAGATTGATCGATGTAACCCTCAGCTACTGTTGTGGACTTCCATCCTCCGTGCTTCTTAATATCCGTTATATTTGCTCCTGATTCTGCTAGCAAAGAAGCAGAAGACTTTCTGAAATATTGATCTGTATATTCCTTTGGTTCCGGGAGGTTCAAAAACTCAGCAATGGTAGAGGGCATTTTCCCAAACGTGTTTATACCAGCTGGGTTGGCACTGTATTTATAATTTGAGTATTTCAGAAAAAAAACGTTGATTGATAATGGAAGGGCGTAATGCAATGTATTTATTAAAATATTCAATGTTTTTTTCCAACAATGCGAAAAGAACGACCTATTTTCGTTTTTGTATTTGAAATTTGGACAATCAATCATTCATCCAATAATAATTTAAAGTCTTTTATTAATAAATTGCAGAGCTCTTCACGCCGACAGGCTCCAATATTCCGAAAATAGTAGCAACTTATTTCATCTGGCGCCTCATTCATAAACCTCTTGACTCGTTCTAACAAAAGAGTTTTTGATTTTTTGGGCCTATAAATTTCATTTTTTCGCTTTAAAAATGCTATTACCTTGAAATATTTGCTTGTATTAACACCATTTTTAATGAGCGCACTCGACCTTATCATTGAAAATCTGCTCCACAAAGTTGACGAGTTCTATATTTTTGATTTCTCTTCTAGATAGGTTAAGAAGACGGTTTTTCTGAAACTTCGTCCGACGTTTTTAAGTCTACACGGCTAAGAAAATTATAATATGCAATGTCGTACTGCTGAGCCGATTTTTTTGATAATAATTCAATTGAAGCTTTTTTTGCAGCCTCTTCAATATCGTCAGGAAGACACAATTCCTCACTATTGTTCTTCATTATACAAGACATTAAACACCTGCAAGAACTTCAAAAAATGTGACATTAAATGAAACTTGTGAGCTGTAAACAATACTGTTTGTTGGTAACCAGGTGATTCGGCTTCACCTGACACGGCCACTTCACAGCAAATGCGATAACATTAAAATAGTTGACTGACAAGAGATGTCAAAATGTGTTTTTATAAAAAAATTAAATTTATCCATTTTATTATGAAAACTGGACAGTTGTACAAAAAACTTTATATGATATTTTTGTTAAAAGTAAGTTTTATTTTGTTCGTGACTTTTTCACTCACAAAATAAAACCTTTCAACACTCAACACTCATATAAATAGCTATTGTTCAATGACATTCATTCTGTCCTGATAGAATATTGTATAGGGTAAATTAAAAGAGTTATATTTCTGAGAGTGACTAATTTTTTTGGAAAGGAAGTTTTTGGCTTTCTACTACTCCATCTAGATACAAAAAAAATGTGGAAAGCTTTCAAAAAAAGGAAGGAAGCAATCAATTTTAAAAGAAGTAACTCTACACATAGATGTGTAGATCGTGCAAAGAAGTAACTTTCAGACACAAACTGGAAAAAACCCTCCTGAAACAGCTACTTTCATATGAATATTGAATTACACGAAAGATTTCCACATTTTTTTGTATCAAGATAGAGTAGTAGAAAGCCAAAAACTTTCTTACCCATAGTATAGTGTCTTTCATTAAGTACATAAAGTGTGTGTGAGATATAGAATTTTTCTATTCGTTTGAAAGACCTATTGATGCCATCATGTGTGGGACACTTTTCAAATGTCTGCCACGGCTTGCTACGACTTCTCTGGCTGATGTGCATCCGAAACGCCTATTTTCCATGACTCTGGCTCATAAATCAGGCTGGATTTGACCGATAGCTTAGGTTTTGTTGGCTTTGAGGACCACTGTGGTTAGTGGCTTACTCGCAGACGCCTGCAACTTAGGAAAACCCCACAAGAAAAAGTCTAGTGGGGTCAAATCGCACGATCTTGTTGGCCAGTTCACATCACCTACACGTGAGATGACCATGCCCCCAAATTGCTCGTGCAGAATATCCAATGTGGCGTGAGCTGTGTGGCACCAAACAGTGACTTTTCGGGATGCATTAGATGCTCTTGGATCTCATGTGGATTGGTATCGTCTCAAATTCGACAATTTTGTTTGTTCACGTATCCACTCATCCAGAAATGGGCCTCATCGTTGAAGATGATTTTTCGATGAAAATTGGGGTCAGTTGCCAATTGCTCTAGAGCCCATTTAGCGAACACACGTTATTGTCTATGGTAGTTTAGCTTCAGTTCCTGTGTCAGTTGAATTTTGTACGGGTCCTCTCGGTAGAACGATTATGGCGACCGTAGAATGGACAAAGATCGAACAGAACACCATTTTTGATAAAACTTTTTTATCATTTCCACATTGAATGGTGATTTGGCAAAACAGACTAAATACATGTCAACTAATTTAACAGATATATCTTCAACAAGATGGCGGTTATCAATTGTCAAAGTTCAGAAGTCCTTGTCGGAAGACCCTATATAATTGATTGTTTGAACGTGTATTTGTGGAATTTGTCAATTCCACTCATCAATCGATTATTCACCACTAAAATTGGGGTAAATAATAATTCAGTTTTTCACAAACCATCTTTTACGGACATTGTCATACATACTTTTTGACATATCACTATCATCATAAAGTAGCGTCATTCGAAACTATGTTTCACAAACTTTCGAATATTCCACTGACAGAAATTAATTTTCAGAGAGAACTGAGTTTTAGCAACCAAAGTGCTGCCAACAATGGTCATGAGGTAGATATTATCGACTCCACTCTTTTAAAAAAAAACTACGAAAACAATAACATCACTCGTTTTTTGAAACAGTAAGACTTAGATGTAACTTACAGTACAAATAATCATTCAAGCAAATTTGTTAAAAACTTCATATTGGCCAAACGAAAAGAGCCTTTCCCAATGAATAAAAGAACATATGAGATGTTTCTTAAATTTGAATAGCAATTCTACATTGGCATGAGTTGAACCATGACTATGACGCATTACATTTGGAAGAGAAATGTTTGAAACCGAATCTTCCGGAATGCTTCAAAATTAATAGATTTAAGAATTCTGGAACTTGCCGAATAAACGAATAGAATTGAAGTCTTCCCCTCTGGTAGAATAGGTTAGATCAAAAGTGAGTGGGTCTATTCTACCCTCCACCGCAACCCGCAAGGGTTTATTATGGCTCGCACCTACTCACTCGACCAAATAAACTCAGATTCTCAACGAAGCTGATTAGTTTGTATGGTGAGTGGTCTTACAGGTCAGATGGTGAGAGTACGGCTCTGCCGTACTCTAAAAACCTGATTCGGTTGCCAGCCTGGCAGGCACAAAGTATATGCTCCGTTGTTTCCTAATTTTCGAAACAAAGGCGACATACAATGTCTTCCGACAGTCCCAGTCTCTGCATATGATGATTCAAATGACAGTGACCTGTGAGAAGCCCTTATAGACATCATAGTTCATTCCTACTATAGTCCAACAACTGTTTGGTATCAAACTTCGAAGGGTGAATAAACGCTTTGGAGTGAGCCAATCCTGGAAGATTCTGCCAGAAATCCATAAATCTTCTTGCCATCCAGGTGTTCAATGTTTGTTTGGCAAAGCCTAAAGAGATTCCAATGACAGGTTCTGGTCCGATAAAGCAGCTTGCAGCACCCTTCTTTGCAAGGGATCAAGCAGCCTCATTGCCTTCCTATCGAGGAGAGTCGTTTTTGGCAATTTGCTATCAATTAAGACGTTGCTCGGTAGGAGCCAAGAGCTTCCAACGCCGTTTGACTGACCGAGAATATTTTTATTGGCTTGTATATGCGGTTGGATTCTTCCATTCTCTCCGCACACTATTCAATAGCGTAAATTTTCGCTTGAAATACAACCGCATAGGTTCCTAGGCATTTTGATATCTCTGTCCTGGGTCTGCGACTGAAAACACCTGCACCAGAAGGTGTTTTTGATACATGTGGGAACCAACAACTATCTGCTCTTAATATTTCCTTCTCCCGGAGTATCAAGTTCTCTCTCGGGAACAATACTTCATATAGTCTGGTTCACATGTACTCGATTTAGCTCTTTTTGGTGACATTTTTCAGCCCTGTCCAAAAATTACGACCAAGGTGTCATTCGATTCGTATTTTTGCCTAGAAAGTTTAAGGCTCTGTAAAAATTATAAATAATCGAGATACAGTTTCGGGAGTCGGGACTTTTCAAATCTTTTTTGAAATTTCCAAAATTTTGAAAATTTCNAGGTAGTGTATATCATCAACATAAAGTCGATGATTTCCGATAATTGAAAATCGAATTCCGTCAGAGTATCATTCCTCGAACTAAGCTGAAGACTACAACAAACAACAGGTTTGTCGTCGCTCCATCTGCCTGTGAACGAGGTAACCAACTGCATATCCAAATTTGCCCAATTCCTCGTAAAAGGAAAAGAAGGAAAAAAAGGAAAAAAATCTTTCACGTATAGTCAGTGGGCATACTTGAAGACTGGCTATAAATCAAATCATCTAAAGGAACAATTCGTTCAGGCCAGTCTATACGGCCACTGACTATACGTGAAAGATTTCACGTATAGTCAAATTCATTGATCTTTTCAAATCTTTTTTCAAATTTCCAAAATTTTGAAAATTTTCCGAGATATTAAGAAAAAACTAAAGCCCCATTTTTTTTTCACCTAATTGTTTATAACTTTTGTAATTTTTATCGGCGCGTTTTCGGTCCTTTCTAGGCAAAAATACGAATCGAATGACATCTTGGTCGTAATTTTTGGACAGGGTTGAAAAATGTTACAAAAAAAAGTACATGTGAACTAGACTAATAGAGCAGTTCGTAGTCGACAGTTGGAGACATAAAGTCAGAGGTTATTTCCAGGATGCTGCGACTTCCATTGTCAGTGTCATTATCCAGTGTCAACCAACAGTCTGTTGCACTCTGCATTAAATGGATTTGTGAAATTGGCAATGTGCAATATGCAGTCCATCTAACCTCTCTCTACAGAAAAATGTGGAGAGGAGGTAGATCTAGAAGGATATCCATGGTCGCCGACGGTGTGGTACTGATGGAATCACTGATGGCCAGACAAGCCTGTACTGTAAGCCAGAGAGCTTCGCCTGGACCGTTTTCTGTAAAGCCTTCGGCCACCGGGCAATTGCTCCAACTGACCAGTAGTCTGTCAATCATCACATAAATCCAATAGATTTGTTTGAAACATAAACTCCAAGTTTTACCACAAATCCTTCGACATGTCCATAGAGACAGTCTGACTTTGTGCAAAACTTTCTCCAAGGGAGCGTTCCAGGTGAGTTTTCTTATCAAGGACAATGTCAAGATATTTCACCCCCGTTCCAAATGGAACGACCCCACCATTGAGAGAAAGTGCCGTTGAATCGTCCAATTTTCCCCTCCTGTTGAAGGAAATTATCACAGTTTTGCTGGGGTTGACAGACATCTGCTCCCTCAGGCACCAACTGTGAACAACGTCAATCGTGTTTTGGAGAAGATTACAAGCTACCCTTCCCGACGTGGACCTTGCCAAGATAGTAAATGACTTATGTTGAAATGGTAATTAGTTCATTAGATGCCCATTTAATGAGTTGACAAAATTTTTCAATTACTTTATATCTGAACTCGTTTAAAATTAGGTAGGTAGATATAGTTCTAATTAGGTAGAATTTTGTCAGTATGAACACCCCTGAGGGAGGTATTGTATAATGCTGGGATTTTATAAAATATTCAGCGAACATCTCACAAAAAAGCGTTACTTGGATGCTCAAATACATTTTTCTTATATTTGCAGAGTCCTTGGAGATTATGGAAGGCCCGCGTGATGTCGAAGTTTCTTGGGGTCAAACTGCATCATTCACATGTAGAGTTCAGGATAGTTCTGCAACGGTCTACTGGATGCGAGACCATCAGGAAGTGATACCAGAACAAAACAAGTATATCATCGATGAACAAGGTTCTCTCCTTATACACAACGCAGATGAAAACGACGGGGGATTTTATGAGTGTGTTGCAAAAAATACTAACGGAGAAGTTAAGTCCAAACCAGCCAAAATGACTGTTTTGAAATCGGACGGCCCGGCCATAGCACATGGTATAACAAATGTTTGTATTATTTATTTTGAAAAAATATTTTGGTAGGTACCATGAAGTTCTCCAAGATTCTGTAGTCTCTCTCATTCAAACTAACCAAGGCGGATTCAAACGCTCGTTTATATTACGATTTTGATTTAAAACTGGTAGTGAGAGTAACTATATAGGAAGAAGGTGTATTACATTTTAACTGTTAAGTGTTGTAGCTTCTAGCTTAGTCAAACCAATGATTCATCAGAAATTGTGAGGGAATAAGTAATATATGACACTCCAAACTCAAAAGTCCACGGCCTCCCTGTTGTCGGGGGAAGTACAACCGTGGAACGGACGATTTGGGATGCAAACTCCTATAGAGATGCATCATTTTTCGGGTCTTTAGGTCGAGTTGATACAGCTCCTCCTGAGTCCACTTCACTACTCCAAATGAGTAAAGTAAGATTGAAAGGACAAGCATATTTGTTGCAGCAACTTTGTTCTTCCCCAATAGTTCCGATGACCAGATCTGTCGAAGTTTGTGCTGATACTTGCTGTGGAGAGAGTTCTTCACTGTTGTTACCTCTTGTGAGTGGCGTTGTTCCGAGGTAAGTATACGTCTCTCCGGCATCCAAATGGTGTAGGATGCTTCCATCTACGAGCTGCACATTATCTCCGCAATCCCTGCATCGTCCTCTTTTGAGGACGGAATTTCATACCGATAGCATGAGTGTATTCTTCCACCACCCTCAAGGACTGATGGAGTTCCTTCTCTCCAGAGGCATGAAGTTTGAGATCATCCATATAAAACAAATGGGTGACCTTATTATTATTATCATATTGGACTTAATCTCAATTATTGAAGCATATGTTCAAAAGAAACTCATGGAAGATAATGGAAAAACAGCACAAACCTGACATGTCACGTTACGTTTACTTCAAGTCTTTCGTGCCGTTGTGATGGGTTTTTATTTGCCAATTTGAATCAGTGCACTTTCCTCAATGTCGATTAATTCCGTCAACATAAACATTGTGTGCTCGGGATTCGAGGAAGTCACGAAGACCGTTTTTGTCTTGTCCTGATTAACGAAAGTTCTATAGGTGAGAAAGTTATCTAAGAGCTTGAAAAGATGGAAGTCGATTGGCGAGAAGTCTGATGAGTATGGTGTACCCATGGCCTTTTTTGGGATGTGCCTGGTTGGCTCATCATTGTCCATTCACTGTTCTGAACGTCTCCTGTGGTCGCCAACCTCTTCGATGTGTAGAGCTACTGTGTCAGTT